AGTTCCTGTTTTCCTTATTTGGTCCTTCCTGTTCCTGTCCCAATGTAGTTTGATTTGTTCCAGGTGTGTCTCATTATTAGTTATCCTCCTCACCTGTCTGCCCCTCGTTATCTGCCCTATTTAGTTCTAGCCTGTTCTGAGTTTCTTTGTCTGGAATTGTGTTGGTCAACTCCTTGTGCTACGTGTGATTCCCTGAAAAAAATAATTAAACTCCTGTTTTGTACTCCTGGTCTCCTCGTTCCTCACAGTAGCAACCCGTGACAGAATTCCAGACCCAACAAAAAGTGAGCGGCGACTTTTCCTCGCGTTTGATTTTTCCGCCTTTTTGAGAAGGTTTTTTTTGTTTGTTTTCCCTGTTTTCCCCACGGCTATGGAAATTGCCGCTCTGTTCTCTACCTTAGCTCGCCTAGATCTCCCCTTTGTTGAGTATTCCTGGGAGTTCTGCAGGCTCACCGCGGCTACGGCCCTCGATGATGCCACCATTAATTCTCTGTTCTGGCTCGGGGCCAACTACCATCGCCCCGTGGACCTCCCAGACACCACGGGACTGAGCTGGAGGGAAGGAATCCTCCAGTGTCTCGAGAGCGTCCGGCCCCGAGCCAGAACCAGCCCGCCGTCCGCGGCCTACTCTAGTTCACCGGCCGTTAATATGGCAAGCCCAACGAACATTAATATGGCAAGCCTGCCATGCGCTCATGAGGCTCCAGTGTCAGTTCCAGCCCCAGTGCCTGCTCCTCATAAGAGCCTTCCAGAGCTCACTCCAGTGTCGGCTCCAGCCCCAGAGCTCGCTCCAGTGTCGGCGCCAGCTCCTCCAGAGCACCCTCCAGTGGGGGGGGGCCCATATACCCATGGCCAAGCCAGCTAAGGCCACGGAGGATCCGCCATGGCCCCCCGAGTCCCCTGCTCCACCATGGCTCCCTGATCCGCCCTGGAAGCTTTCCTTGTCTCCGCCCTGTTCCAGTCCTGCACTAGCCTCCAGGGCGCCCGCCCCCCCTCCCTGATGGTACTGTCCCGCGCCGTCCGGGAGGGGGGGTGATCTGTCACGTGTATGTTCCTGTTTTCCTTATTTGGTCCTTCCTGTTCCTTTCCCAATGTAGTTTGATTTGTTCCAGGTGTGTCTCATTATTAGTTATCCTCTTCACCTGTCTGCCCCTCGTCATCTACCCTATTTAGTTCTAGCCCGTTCTGTTCTCCCTTGTCTGGAATTGTTTGTCAACTCTTTGTGCTACGTCTGTCTGCCCCTCGTTATCTGCCCTATTTAGTTCTAGCCTGTTCGGAGTTTCTTTGTCTGGAATTGTGTTTGTCAACTTCTTGTGGTACATGTGATTCCCTGGGGAAAAAAGAATTAAACTCCTTTGTTTTGTACTCCTGGTCTCCTCGTTCCTCGCTCCTCACAGTAGCAACCCGTGACAATATCTACATATAGAAATATATTAAATATAACACAAACTAATATAAATGACAAAAGCACATAACAAATGTAATTGAAAATGAAAACCGAAAATATAAAAATAAGAGCTAATTCAAAATATAAATGAATACTATAATAGCATATAATAAATACTACTTAAAAAAACACTGCTCCACTTGACGGGCATATGAGATTACGCTGCTTCGTTTCTGGACACCAACTGACATGTCAAACAAAACCGCCAAGATTGTATGAGGTCACGCAGGTGTCTTATGTACAGTATGTTTTTTTCCCCAGGTTCAAAGCCAAGATGTGGTTGTGTGAATCACACCCTTTATCTCTGTTGGAGCAGGTAGCTCCTATCATCGACCTCATGGCCATCTCCAACACACTGTTCGCCAAGCTTAGGGACTTCATCACCTTACGCCTACCTCCTGGCTTCCCTGTCAAGATAGGTAAGAAAGAGAGGAAAAGAAAGTACTGTGCAGGAACATACTACATGCCTACATTTTTTTTTTTTTAATTGGCAGATTTAACTTAACATTTTTCAGCATATTTGTCTCTAATGTATGGCTAGGTAGCAATCACAAACACATTTAAATGAACAGTTCACCCAAAAATGAAACTTTACTCACCCTCAGTACATCCAAGATGTAGATGAATGTTTCTTCGTAACAGATCGGGAGAAATTTAGCATTTCGTCTTGCTTACCAATGGACTCTGCATTGAATGGGTGCCGTCAGAATGAGAGCTCAAATGGCTAATAAAAACATCACAATAATCCAAAAGTAATCCACACAACTCCATCAATTAACATCTTATGAAGTGAAACACTGCATGTTTGTAAGAAACAAATCCATCATTAAGAGTTTTTTTTTTCTTTTTATTTATTTCAAATCATTCCTTTTGGCTAAAATATGAGTCCTCTATGCATAATTATTGCTATCTCCAGTAAAAAAGTCGTCTTGTCTGAATCAGGAGAGAAATATGCACAGATCAAGCACCGTTTACAAGCAAATACAGTTCTGAACAAAGATGTAGGTGGATATTGATGTGAAAGGATGTGAGATGGACTTTTTCACTGGAGGAAATGTTAATGATTATGGGCTGGTATTTAGGCCATAACTGATTTTAAAAGGCCTTAATAATGGATTTGTTTTGTATAAACCCACAGCTTTTCGCTTCACAAGACATTAATTGATGGACTGGTGTTGTGTGGATTACTTATTATTGTGATGTTTATATCAGCTGTTTGAACTCTCATTCTGACGGCCCCCATTCACTGCAGAGGATCCATTAGTGAGCAAATGATGCTATATTTTTCCAAATCTGTTCTGATAAAGAAACAAACCCATCTAGATCTTGGATGGCCTGAGGGCGAGTAATTTTTCAGTAAATTTTTATTTTTGGGTGAACTATTTCTTTAAACTATCAGGCTAATGCAACAATAACAACATCTCACCACAGAAATTCCCATCTACCACATCCTGAATGCTCGCATCACCTTTGGGAACCTGAATGGTTGCGAAGAGGGTGGTTTGCCCCGAGTGGATGCTGAAGGGGATGGACAGAAGGACAGTCCCAGGACGGAGACGCCTTCTCCAGGCAGCGACTCTTCCAGCGTGTCCAGCTCCAGCTCCACACGTAAGAATAAACCTGCCTTTTACCTTCAGGGATATATAATTGTTAGAAACCATTTAAGATGATGACCAGATTGAAAAATATGGTGTTACAAAGTAATACAGTGTTCAGACAAAGCACTTGCCATTTTTAATGGCCAGAGAAGAATTGATTGGATAAATGTTTAATGACTGCATTCCTTATAGAGCTGCCTGTTGTACAGATGTAACTCAGATCAATACATTTGACTACAATAATCTGCAATGGGCTTCATGAATGTGTGTTTGTGAATCAATCAGACTCATGTCGTGGAGGAGAGATCCCACCTTGTGTGTTTGAGGCTCCGCGAGGCTACAGCATTTTAAGAGGGAACCAGCGGGAGAACATTAGAGAAGAGGAAGATGATCTGCTACAGTACGCCATCCAGCAGAGCCTGATAGAGGCTGGATCAGAATATGACCAGGTCTGACATGCAATCACACACTTGTATGTTAGCAGATGCTCATAGGTGTTGACGACAAACTACAGAAATATATCTTACACTGTGTCCTTACCAAGCATGAAACCGCATGGCATCAAATAATCTTTCTGACCTTACTGAATCCAAAAAATACTGCATGATGTGACAAAATAAGTCAGTCTGAGAATATTTGATTTTTAATATACAGCCATGTGGAGCCAGATTTTGTTGGGTATTCAAAGTCCCTAGAAGGCAAATGAATTCACAAAAAATATTTAATGTAGCTTTTTTATCTCAAGTAACTTTCGAATTTCAGATGTTTTGTTCATCACATGTGAATGCAGCTTTTGAATTTTGAAGCCTAACTACAATCACCAGAAGCTAAAAGCTAGACGTAGGTTATAAACTAATTACACTACGGTCGTATGACATCACCACCATTTAAGCTTTTAACAACTCTTTCAGTCTTTTGCACAATTATAAACACAACAAGGCTGTGAAAGTGGGCTAGTGAGTTGATGAGTTTACCTGTTCCATCCCAACAAACTCTGTAGTCCCTTTTAGCCGCTTGTTAGCAACTGCCATTTCTTTAACCCTCAGGTTGTGTTCAAATCCTTATAACACTTGTGGTGTTCACAAAAAAATGGCTTATAAATCTCTTGTTATGCAATATTATCACCAAATATTGGTATCAATCTTTTTGTCAGCTTGTTTTCTTTCAAGTAGGACTGGTTTTGGGTTTATTTTTGGAACTGATTTATCGTAGGCCTCATTAATCTGAGCTTACGTACATCAGTTTTTGAGTGAAAAAAGCGTTATTTGTGGATAATTTTGTCAATATTAAATAAAATATGAAAAAATTTGCACTGTTTATCACTCTAGCATGTTCTGATGTTTAACCAAGAAATTAGTTTTGAAAAGCTTTTATTTTGTAAACATTTTTAAAAATTGCAAAAACAAAATAAAAATCACACTTGTGGTGTTCCCAGTCAAAAATGACCGGCCTACAAAAATAGCTTATTGATTTCTTGTTATGCTATATTATTATCTAATATTGGTATCAATCTTTTTGTCAGCTTGTTTTCTTTCAATTAGGACTGATTTTGTGTTTATTTTTGAAACTGATTGATCGTAGGCCTCATTGAGCTGAGCTTACATACCTCAGTTTTTGAGTGAAAAAAATCGTTATTTGTGGATAATTTTGTCAATATTAAATAAAATATGAAAAAATTGCACTGTTTATCACACTAGCATGCTGTAATGTTTAACCAAGAAATTTGTTCTGAAACGCTTTTATTTTGTACAAATTTTCAAAAAAAAAATAAAAAAATGTGTATTTATTTTTGAAACTGATTGATCGTAGGCCTCATTGATCTGAGCTTAGGGTTAGGCTTCTTCTCACTGTCTGTAGCATGAGGCAGTACCTGTAACCCAGTCAGGTTGCACAGGTAGTCCAGCTCCTCCAGGATGGCACATCCATACGTGCCATCATGAGGAAGTTTGTTGTGTCTCCCAGCACAGTTTTAAGAGCACGCAGGAGATACCAGGAGACAGGCCGTTACATGAGGAGAGCTGGACAGGGATGTAGAAGGGCAACAACCCAGCAGCAGGACCGGTATCTGCTACTTTGTACTGGGAGGAATAGGATGAGCACTGCCAGAGCCCTACAGAATGACATTCAGCAGGCTATAGGTGTGCATGTTTCGGATCAAACTCTCAGAATCAGACTTTATTAGGGTGGAATAAGGGCCCGATGTCCTGTAGTGGGACCTGTGCTCACAACTCGGCACCATGCAGCTCGATTGGCATTTGCCAGAGAACACCAGAATTGGTAGGTTCGTCATTGGCATTCTGTTCTCTTCACTGATGAGAGCAGGTTCACACTGAGCATATGTGACAGATGTGAAAGAGTCTGGCGATGCCGTGGGGAACATTATGTTGCATGCAACATCATCCAGCATGACTGGTTTGGCAGTGGTCTGGGGAGGCATATCTGTGGAGGACTGCACAGACCTCCACATGTTAGCCAATGGTTCCCTTACTGCTGTTAGGTACCGGGATGAAATCCTCAGAGCCGCTGTCAGACCTTACACTGGTGCATGATAATGCCTGGCCTCAGTGGCTAGAGTGTGCAGTTTTTAGATGACACTGGCATTGATGCCATTGACTGGCCCTCACTTGAATCAAATTGGATATTATGCATCGGAGCATCCAATAGTTGCTGTGATGAACATCAGTGGTCTGGGGAGGCATATCTGTGGAGGACTGCACAGACCTCCACATGTTAGCCAATGGTTCCCTTACTGCTGTTAGGTACCGGGATGAAATCCTCAGAGCCGCTGTCAGACCTTACACTGGTGCATGATAATGCCTGGCCTCAGTGGCTAGAGTGTGCAGTTTTTAGATGACACTGGCATTGATGCAATTGACTGGCCCTCACGTTCCCCAGACTTGAATCCAATTGAGAACCTCTTGGATATTATGTATCGGAGCATCCGATGTTGCTGTGATGAACTTCATGCTAGTTGGATCAGCCTGTAACTTTAGTTTTTTACATTGATTTTTGGTGTGATTTTGAATCCAACCTTCAGTGTGTTGATGATTTTGGTTTCCATTGACTGTTGTCACATACAGAATGTATATAAATGAAGATTTTTAAATTGAACATTTAATTCATTGAGATCCAATGTGTGATTTAAGTGTTCCCTTCGGTCGGTCATTTTTGACCAGTAAAGCTAAGATCAATAAGGCCTACAAACATTCAGTATCAAAATTAAATACAAAACCAGTCCTAATTGAAGGAAAACTAATTGACAAAAAAAACTGAATCCCATTTTTGGTGATAATATAGAACAACAAGAGATTTATAAGCTATTTTTGGTAGGCCGGTCATTTTTGACCAAGAACACCACAAGTGTTCTTTTGTGCTATTTTTTACAAGATATAAGCATTTCAAAACAATTTCTTGGTTATACATTAGAGCATGCTAATGTGAAAAACAGTGCAATTTTTTTTTCATATTTTATTTAATATTGATCAAATTATCCACAAATATGGCTTTTTTTCACTCAAAAAATGAAGTATGTAAGCTGATATAAATCAGTTCAAAAAATAATCACAAATCCAGTCCTAATTGAAAGAAAACAAGCTGACAAAAAGATTGATACCAATATTAGGTGATAATATTGCATAACAAGAGATTTATAGGCTATTTTTTGTAGGCCGGTCATTTTTAACCGGGAATACCACAAGTGTAACAAGGTTGAATAAAATTTAAAATTTTAACGAAAATTAACAATTTTTGCAGTGGAAGTACTTGAACCCTGTGTAAACAAAGTCAGTAAACCTTAGTCCAAAAAGACCCGAACACAACCTGAGGGTTAAAGTAAAATCTTTAAAGAAATCATGAGTGTAGTATTACTGATGTATATATATATTTTTTTTTTGTAGAATGAAACGTAAAAATGTTTCGAGTTTGTGTTAACCACAGACCTTTTTCAGGCATTTAACCTAATACCCATTCAAAAAACTTATTGACTTCAGGACAGTGGAAGCTTAAGTGCCTACAAAAATACCATCCCTGCAGTACCCTACAGCAGCCATACTGTACACTATTTCATGTTATGACCGCCCAGCTGCTCCTGGTTAAGATGAAAACCCAGATTTACATGAAAGCGATACAAGTAATATAATTTGTCGGTTTAATGTGTCTCATCTGGTTAGAACATGGTGTAAGACTTTTTTTACACATACCTTATCCCTCGGCTTCCCTCACAGGTGACAATCTGGGAGGCTTTGACCAACAGTAAACCAGGAGCACACCCTCTGTCCTGTGACCCCAGCCGGCACGAAAGGTCTGCAGTCAGTATTCCGCTTCTACTATCTCCTGTAGTCACATCTCACCCACAATAGGCAAGGAGAGCGTCACACTCTCACATCACATTTACTGGAGCTATTGACACAGGCTTGACTGTCAGTACATCCTCAGTGAAGCTCATAGAAATTCACTAGGGTTTTCATCTCTCTCTCCTCACCTTCGTTTGCTCTTTATGGAGTTTTAAAGCAGATTGAGATGCCCTGTCCATGGCAGCCGACATGAATCCGAAACAGTCGCTTCACCTCATTATTCTTTTAGGTTTCACTTTTAGAACAGGACAACCACGCACAGATAATCTCTAGTTTTAAAGTCACACACACATCGATTGAAAGTGACAAAAAAGACATTTATAATGATACAAAAAATGGTCTATTTCAAATAAATGCTCTTCCTTTGAACTTTATATGTATCAAAGAATCCACAAAGGTTTCCACAAAAATATTAAACAGAACAATTGTTTTCAACATTGATGATAATAAGAAATGTTTCTTTAGCAGTGAATCAGCATATTAGAATAATTTCTGAAGGATCATGTGACACAAAAGACCGGAGTAGTAGCTGCTGAAAATTCTGCTTTGCCATCACAGAAATAAATTACATTTAAAAAAAAATATTAAAATGAAAAACATAATTTAAATTGTAATAATAAATCAACTCTTAAATTGCTGATTTTACTGTTGTCAAGAAGACAATTTTCTGTTAGCAGAGGTCTCAGTCACTTCTTTTCTTCTCCATTACCCAGAACCCCACAGCACAAACCCAGCCCCGTGGAGAGCCCTCGCAGCACACCGACCAATAAACCACCGCACAGCTACGACGAGCAGCTGCGTCTAGCCATGGCGCTGTCCGCCCGTGAACAGGAAGAGGTGGAGCTACGTCAAAGACGAGAGGAAGAGGAACTGCAGCGTATCATACAGCTGTCACTCATGGAGAAGTGATAGGGCTAGTGGGAACCGAGGGGTGGGAGAGCATGTCTAGGGACCTGGAACTATGATTGGCTGCTCCCAAATGCCCCACCCCCTTCTTCCAAAGAACTGGATAAAATGGACCACTCTATGGTCCCATCTGAGTCGTTCAGAATCACAGAGAAACCTCTGTCTTCACTGCAAGTTTACAAACACAAAGTACCAAACTCATGGCAAGCCACTGACTGATCAGCACCAGTCTGGTCTCCTAATGTGTGAATGTGCATTTATGACTGAGACAGTCCACGCTGCGTATCTTGGCGTCGTTTCAAAAAGCCATCATCTGAGCACTTGCCCAGAGTTCTCACAGACTCACCCATAGGTATGAGTTCTGGGGGATTCTTGTCACTTTTTTCAGTTTTATGTTTTGAACGTAAAGAACTTTAATTTGGTTGTTAATACACTTCAGATTTCCTGCACTTGGATTGAGGAGCCATTATGTCTCCTAATAGAAAGAGAGAGGGCGCTTACACACAAAAGTTCATGCTGCAACTCCATCAGTCTTGATGGGAATGCTGCATTCAAAAAACATACAAAGATTTGCAAAAGTGGCACTTCCATTATACAACCAAAGTTGTTTAATTACAACTTTTGGTTAATGTCATTGCGTTAATCGCTGCACTTTGAGGATCTCAGACAGGAGGGTCTTCAAAAAATTTATTTTGATGTATTCCAATTTGATTCCGAAACTAAAGACCTGTTCACACTAGCGTGAATGTTCAGCATGAAAATTTGTCTGTTCAGACCAATGCAAAAAAAAGATGCGTTAAATGAAAATGAAAGTAGGTGGTGATTATGGAAAAGCAGAAATAACCGGGTACAGGGGAGCAGTGATGCGTAATTTTGAATTTTCGACAACTGCCTGTCATGGAAGTTTTAGAGACGGTGCTCGCTGCTTGGCGTCAAGCTCCACCACTCTGGGTGTAATGGGTGGGACTTTAAAGTCTAACCACACCCTAACCCTAACCATAACTAGGTCGAGCTCCACCCATTTGACCCTGCAGTGACCACCGCTTGGAGATTTGTGCAACAGCAGTGGCCCCAGGCACATTACCTAAAGCGTGAATCTTGGTTGGCCATAGTAGCATGATGGAAAAGAGATTAGAATATCTCTCTTTAAATATATACATACATATATATATATATATATATATATATATATAGGATATTAACAGCCATTTGCTCACAGTCAAATTTCTTTCTAACCCTAAAAACGGATTTGGCGCAATCCTGTCCGTACACTTTTTCTAGTGTGTAAGCACCCTAGTGACCACCAAACTGCGTTATGACAGAAGGTTGGCAGCAACCCTCTGTGCACTGTTAACTGCATGATTTTTAATTATTAGCCAGATTGATAATTCAAACACTGGAGAAATTATTGTACGTTAATGGTTCACTTGACAGTTAATAAGATTGAACAAAACAAGCCATTTTCAGGTAAATTGTAGTTTATGACTAAATGATTCCTTTGAATCTGAATCAAATGCTCATTGCAATATTCATTATTTGTGTCCTAAATGCACTTTTCACAAAAATAACACATTATTCGCATACAACACAGTGTGTGTGCTCTACTTCAAATGGTGCTAAATTGATCTTTCATATTGACTCGTGGTATGTTAATCAGTGTAATTGTCACGACATGCATTCATCCGTCTGTTCAATCACTTGACAACGTTTCTTTCCTGGCCTCCATCTAGTGCTTCCTTCAACATTACCATCAGAGCTCATTGTCTCATGACTGGAACACCTGCGGTAGCTAATTGTGCTTTCATAAGGGGTGCCAGTTCTGGAATAAAACATGAAAGGAGGAATCACTCACAGAGATAATGCCCTGAGCGAAGACGAAGCCGAACGTTTTATTGGAGAATCTTAAAATAGATGTTTCTCCTTAGTCAGATTTATTCTGGGCCTGAGTGACGTGCCCTCAGGGGTTGATGTTATCAGGTGAATCTGAAAAACAAATTAGGAAACATGGCCATACTCAACATCTGAAAAGCTTCAACGTTAAAGCACAAGGGATTAAGTGTCAGTTTTCAAAGGAAACGGATCTGATGAAGGTGTCTGGAGACAAGAGCTCCTAAAAAAACACGTAGGTTTGATCTTCTGATTGTGCGACTCATGAATGCTGGGTTCAGTCATTGAGAGATGCTTGATATGACAGTAAAACATTATATGGGCATTATTTATATTTAACCTTTTTTTATTTTATTTGACTTTGGTTGATGCTGTGATTTGTGTGGTGTGCTGCTGTTGTGTTTGTATGTGACTGAAATATATTGTTCACATTTGTAACTTAAAGGCATTCTGAATAAAGGATGATATCTAAATTAACATGAATTTCAAACGACGTGAATGAATGTCATTAACTTAAGTTTGTGGTTTTAAAAACGAAGGTCGTGTGCTTGATCAAACTGCAACAAAGTGCATGTACAATGGTATTTTTTTGAAAGTAGGCTACCTTGGACCACCATGGCATTATCATGGTACGGCCATAGTACTGTTTTGGTAATATACGCACACAAAGTTTTATTTTCATTTTCATTTTTTATTTTACTTTTAGTTAGCTTTTATTTTTATTTCCGTTCAGTAGTCATCAGTGATTAGCATGCATCACTGAAAACAAGAGACTGCTAAATGACCGATAATTGTGTTGCGTTCATATAGGCCTGCTAAATATATGTATCATTCCTTCTAACAATTATAAGTGAAAGTTTCCATCAGAAGGTTCAAACATAATTTAAAAAATTGCTTGGTGTCATTTGCAAAAGGCTTCAAAAACCTTCATTCCCATGATTATTTTGGGACTATCGGGGGAGTGTTTTAAGCATCGCCGTGCCGTTTCCAGTATGACTCCGCAGTCTAGAGGAAGCTTTGGCTGTGATGAGTCAACCCCAGTGAATAATATTAATCAGTCAGTCGGTGCAGGTACTGTGACGAGAATATTCATACATAATAGTCACTGGTCTCCGATGGAGTTAAAAATGGTTTCTTGTGAAATAGACTACGCTTAGTCTCTCATTACGGTTTCTCTAATATGCATCAAGGGTGTGCTAGGTAAACAGAAATGCAATATAATGGGCACAAAAAGATGTTACAAGTTAGTTTACAGGCCTTTGACTAGAATATTTCCGATTGCTTAATGCAGGATACCATTATTAGCATCCCCTTAACTTGGCTTGGTTAAACACTATAATCCTCTTTTTAAATCACTTCAATTACAAGAAATGGCCGAATATTACAATAATGCTTAAAGGCACGCATGTAGTGCAGAATGCAGTCCCCAAACGATCACAACAGAGCATTACATCATACTGTAGTACTGCTTCTCACCACATTGTGACGCTATCGTTCAAATAGCACATTTCACTGAAAGGGAGAAGGTTGAGTTCTCTCTAGCTCAGATGATGATAATAATAAACAAATGAATAATACAATATTAATAATAATTACCATCACCACTACTAAAATACCTTGTAAAATTTTCATCTTAAAAGGCACAATATGCAAGATTTTTTTTTTATTAAAATATCCAAAAACCACTAGAACAGTGTTATATATATTTTGCTGACTTGTGTACTTACATTATCCCAAATGTTTTGAAGAATGTTTAAATCCAGATAATTTTAACTAGGGACACGGACCGTCTCATTGTGTCGCCTGCCAATGACATCATAACCCCTCGATTTCCGGTTTTGTTTTGTAGAAAACATGGAAACACCAAAGACGCTTTAATATGTTGTGCGTTTTAATAGACCGGTGATGACCGCACAGAGTAGCATTATAACAGAACTTTCAAATGTATCTAGTATGATAAAACAGCCCTGCTTTTTTTTCCCACATACGCACGACCGGAAGGAGCGGAAGCGGTCGACTGTGGCATAATAAAAGCTCCGCTGCTTTCGAGCCGTACGTGTGTCGCGCTCGTTCAGCGGCCTCGTTTCGCTTCGCCGGCTTTCAGCCTCACCCTGCTTCATTCTACTACGTTAATAAATCATTAGCTCATCCATGAACATGATTTCTGCCCGAGTCCTGCAGGATTGCATCGGCTGTGGGGATGAAGAAGACAACTCCCATGATTCCACACTCAAGTCACAGCATCATCAAACTACGCCTTTGTCTATTTGATTATTTTGAATATGCGCCCTCTAGCGGCGAAAATTACATATTGTGCCTTTAATCTTAAAAACTTATAAAATCCTGAAAATGTATTGATTAGATACTTGATGTATTAACCTGTCTACAGAATGAATGACTTTGACAAAATATTTAAAATAGTGCAGTTTTATTTTATAATAGTCACGGCTAAAGCACAGGATAAAAAGAAAAGTTGATCAAGTTTACCTTGGTTTCAAACAGAATCATGACTCCACATGCTGTCAGACATACAGTCAACTCTACCGTTCAAGCCAGTGCAAAAATATTCAAATAAAATAAAAAATCTAAAAAAACAATAAAAAAGAAAAACAAGAGAGTAAAGTGCATGTTTTATGAAACGGCCCCCTTGTTTGAGTTGCTACCTGAAAACTGACATATATTCACTCACTCACACATGCCCTCATTCACACCTACAGTAGCATACAAATTTAGCTTAGACTTCACTGAATGAAACTTGAACTGGTTGTAGTCAAAGATTGTCCTTCACGCCGACAAAAATCAGCATGTGAAAGTTCATGGTCACATGGTGTTATACAAAACAGTGATTGTCTTTTTCTTGTCCAACGCTTTGCGGAAACGACGAACGGGGTGAGTCTTCACATGTTGTTGTTGTTGTTGTTGTTGTTGTCGTCGCGTGGACACAGAAACTGTGGGCTGGACTGGGGTGTGTTCAGGGGGACTGGCTCCACCCACTTGAGTTTGCTGTGGGCATGAGCTTGAGAGGTGGCCTGAGCCTTCAGTCCTGCCCACCTCCATCAAATGAACGGCGGAATCAGGGGCAGAAGGGTTCTGAGGTAGAACACGCTGCTTTTTATGGGCATCGTCATGGCTGTGGGTCAGTGGCAAGGAGTGAAAGGTGGATAAAGAGAAAGAGGAGGGTTGATTAAACCCTGTGGTAGCCGGGTGGAAGTCCCAGTTGCTCAAGTCATTAGTTGACAGCTCTAGCTGGTCCAGTTTAGCAAGTGAGGCAGAGCGTTTCATGAGCGAAGGAGGGGTGAGACCAGCCTGTCTAATGCGGGCCTCAATTTCCATGGCTCTCTGCCACATCGCAGGTGCTTTGGGCTGCGTGCGCTGCTCCCCATCTATCGAGTCCTGCTTGTCCTCATGTGACTGGTTCTCCTCAACTTGTCTAGTGCACAACCCCAATCCTCCAGCCTCGTATAAAAATGCCTGGAGCTCTCGAAGAGTCTCCTGGATCTTCTGCAAGTCTTCATTGCTATGTGCCAGTCGGACATGGGGCCTCAATGGGTCGTCTACGTCCGTCTCCAGCTCGGTCACACCTTCTAGCCACAACAGAGAGGAAGAACCAGAGCTGTGCTCAAGAGTGGGGTTCAAAGTGATCTGGTCGGCCTCCACTGAAACACTCTCTTCAAGATAGACCGAGAAGGAAGGATCAGGGATTATACCAGAGTCCTCATCATCAAGCACTTTGGTGTCATCTACTGTTCCATCTGTAGCCTTTTGGGACTCAATGCAGGTCAGAGCTGCAGTGCCCTCTGGCTTACTGGAGTAAGATTGTGGCTCTGAACAGTCCAAACATGGGGAAGGAAGAGGAGACCAAGAGCAAGGAACCTCTTGACCCTGACGTAGTATAAGCTCCAACTGCTCGGTGGCCCGGCGCACAGATCCTGAGGGCCTGTCGGTGGGAGAATGAGGAACCGAAGCCGTTTCCTCATCCACCTCCTCCAGTGTAGCAGTTTGAGGTGAGTTGCGTGCCAGTGGCGGACTGCAGGTGTGTGATATGGATTCCAGTTCAGTAACTATATGATGCACACACACACTGTTGTCGTTGTGAGGGAGGTGGGGCACTGCATCTCTATTGGTCTCTGAATGGGTGTGGCACTAGGAAGGAGAAATGCAGAAATATTGATTACAAGAAGTAACTGCATTGTTCCATTTCACTCTCAATAAAGAGAGCTTACCACATTAAAGGGGTCATATGATGCGATTTCAAGTTTGTCTTTCTCTTTGGAGTGTTACAAGCTGTTCGTGAATAGATAAGATCCCTAAAGTTGCAAAGACTAAAGTCTCAAACCCAAAGAGATATTCTTTATAAAAGTTAAGACTGGTCCACGCCCTCCTAAAACGCCTCGTTTAAACACGCCCCCACATGTCTACGTCACGATGTGGGAAGATTTGCATAACGCCACCCAAATGTTCACACAAAGAAAGAAGGCGTAACTTTATTGTTGCTGCCACCGCCATGTTGTGAAAACGCTGGGTTTCGTTGTGAAA